TGGACTTGGGTCCCCTTAAAGGCAGGGGAAAGTCTTAGCATCTTGACCTGCTTTTGCTGCCAGCAGAGGAAAAAACTTCCTGCCAGGAACGGAAACCTTCAGTATTTTGGCTTTGTCCTCAGCACAGCTTTGAAGCTTCCTAGATGTGAAGGTGGATGCAGAATGTCCAGAGGTTTCCTTAGGTGCTCAGAAAATGGCCTCCAGAGGGAACTTAGATGGAACTGGGCTGAATCTGGACTCTTGGTCTTCCTTCCTGCTGCCCAGCTAACTGCTGATCCCCTTCCCAGGATTCTTAGAAGTGTCGTGGTTCATGAATAGCTCAGTGTAAATAGTGATTATCTTTAAAAAAAATACCATTTCTTCAGTGCTGCTGCAGGATGGTGATAGAACAGAATGTCTACCTACTTGATGAAACTTGGCTAAACCATTTCCTGGTGTTGGGAACTGGGCCAGAGCCACATAATGCGAGGAGTATTTAGGGAACTAGAAGTGCTGTGTGCTCCAGGAAGAACAAACACCTCGTGTCTTCTGCTGTAGAACACAGCTCTGTCATGTGGGTTTTGTTTTTCATTTCATTTATTTATTCCTGAAGTCTTTCCTTCCTTGAAGGAAACAGCTTCTACAAACACAGACTACGGTAACAATTTTCCATCATGTGACCATCTAGACATTCAGCAGGAAAAGTTCTTTTCAGCTTCTTGGAAGTATTGTTGGGGCTCTTGTCCAAGGCAATTCTGGCTGTATGAAGAGTGTCTTTAGAGACATGGGTTGGATTTTGAAAAGCCTCACAATTTGTATGCCTGTGATTATGCATATTAATTGAGTTGCTTTTGTTAATTATACATCATGAAAAAGATACATGCTTAGGTGAAAATGTATTTTGACAGAATAAAATGAATCACCTAGGGATTTTTCACACTGCCGGTCTTCAGATATATTTGCAACAAATTTAAGTAGGTTCAAAGAGGGTCAGTTCTGGCAAAGCATGCTCTTCAAATTTCAAAGAGCTGGTCAGATGTCATATTAGGATCAAACTCTGCCTCAGGGAACCTGGATTGTTTTCAGGCTGCCGTCTTTGATAAGTCTGAATTAAAGGTGGATTTAATTAACGGGACATAAAAAAGAGAAGCGTTCTCACAGTGCTGAGTTTTCTCCTATTCTTCCCTTACCTCAGTTCTGGCCAGAGACTTGGTTCCACTGTATCCCAAATAGCAGACTGTTAGCTTGTGAAGTAAAGCGTGGACGGAGATGTTCAGCTATTGTGAGAGTGAGCTGCAGTACAATGCTTCCTAAGGAGAGGGAAATCTAACAGATAAGCCTCATCTTATCTTGTTGCATGCTGCATTCTCCTCTGTTCTTCAAATTCCATTTAAATAAATGTTGCCCTCGTAAAAAGAATTTATTTGGAACTAACTGATATTTATTGGGTACGGATCACATATGCACGAAGGGCCTACGCAACACTTTTCACATGTGAACATCACGCCAACTCTCAAGGATCTGAATCAGAGAGGTCCCATCCCTGCACGAACATCACACAGTAAAATCTGGGATCTAACTCAGAGCTTATATTTCAGGCTCAGGTGTGGTACTTGATATTCCACTGCTTCCTGAGAGAAAACAGGTGTTGATTGGTTATAAATAGACTACGGAGAGCTTTCTATTTAGTTTTTAGCCAATATGTGACGATAACATATCATCATTTAGCTCATTTAGTGAAACCCTATATGAGTGAGCTTAGCAGTGATGGTTCTGTTTGTCTTGTAAGCAGAGTCTTATGAGAAGGGAGCATCGGAGGATGCCTATGAGAGATACCATTCGGGGACACTAGGAGAGGACGTTAATGCCCTTTCTTCATCAGGAACCATCAGGATCTCTTCTCCATGTTTTCCACTGCAATATCTTGTAATTTTAGCATTTTAAATGCATTATTTTGGAGACTCTCATTGCACTCATTATTCTGGGTCTCCGTGCTTATTAAATTAGAGTGACACAAAGTTTAGTTCACATTCCAAACTTGAGTGGATTAGAATGTCTGCTTAGAGCTCTATGAAAATTAGAATCCCGAGGTCCTGTCTAGGTGGGATAGCCTTAATTATCAATGCCAGTCAAGGGATAGGGTAGGAGTTGTGGTAGGGGACAGATTTTGTTTGCAGCACAAGATTAGGCTGTGTACTCACTGGCAAGCATGCCAATGTGAATTTATCTGCTAACTTTCCTAGCCCTTAAAAGAGGAGAAAGAAGGAAAAGGACAGTTCTGAATCCAGAGCTAGGAAGACCATACCACTTACTTTGAATAACAGAGCGCTTTTGAGAGCAAAATTAGCAAAATGCCAGGACAAAATATGTAAAACACTCCTGCGTGGTATGCTCACCTTGGCTCTGTGGAAAGGCAAGCTCTCAGCATCAACAATTCACACGAGTCCACTATAATCTTTTCCTGATATTATTGCTTTTTCATTGCTGCGGCTTCCAGTGACTGTATTTCCCCAGCAGCAAAGGGGAGCTGAAGCAATTAGGCTTGCTTAGGATTCCCAACCCTCAGGGATTCATTGTAAAAGACAGGAAAGAAATTCCATCAATTTGTAGATTTTTCAGAGACTGATAATCCAGCTAATGCACTATCTTCTGCACCCTTGCTTTATTTCCTCCACCAGTTATTTTAGTGATATGTCAGTTCTGACAAGCAGGCTTGATGAAAAAGATGAAACTATTATATTAGATGGGTTTGGAAAATTGGAGGTAGATTTCAATTACCCATGTTCCTCCTATTGAAGGCTGACTGACTGAGGATGGGAGATTCAGCTGGAAGGCTACTTCTAAGAGCTCCTTGCTCTGTTTGCCTCTTTTGTACAGAACGAATATTATGTGTGTACTTAGGAACATGCAGATCCCCACTTCCCAGCCCTATTATCTGTGATTAACAAGATTAAATGACTGATCAATGATCACTGAAATTCATTTGCAGTCATACATAGTAATGATATCAGTAATAAAGGCATAAACTCTTATAATAGTCAGTGCATTTTTACTGAGGGTTTATGTTCCAGATACTACAAAGAAGGGCTTAAGATCTTTGAGTTACTCTTTTGAAAGAAAGGCAAACACTCACAGTCCCCATGTTGTGTGATACAAGGTTAAATGGTTAAAAGCGCAATTATGCAAACTTCAGAGAATGATTCAAAATAATGGAATGTTCTATGGTTATTTTTAAATTACCAATAGAGGAAGGTGTTGACTTCATTAACCTGCAAAATGATTTGTCCCTTGCCAAATGTGGTTGGATGGTCTGTTAAACCATTCAGACTGACCACCCTTCCTCTTCTGAACCACAATCCATTTCCTGCTGTCTATGTTCTCTCTTGGTTCTTAGCATTTTCTACTGAGGATTTTCACCTAATTTACATGGCCTTGACACGTTACTGTATGGTTGAGTTACAAGATTATTTAATTTACGAATTATTTGACTTTTCACTGGATAAGCAAGCAATTTCTAAAACACCAGATTGTAAATCCTCTAGTGTTGGCAGAAATTTATGATCTATCCTTATGTTTCCCTTCAAGATATAGCAAAGTTTTCAATGTATTCAGCTTGAATCCATGAAGTTGCCTCAATGTGATCATTTCTGCCCCATAAAAAGCACTTTCAAATGGCTTAGTGTAGTAAGAATCCAGAAATAATTGTGGTATGAGTGGGATTATTTTTAAAACTTTACATTCTTATTTGTGAATGTATGTATACATATATTCACTATATATAGTCCACTGTGATGCTACTTCTTATTAAGGACTATATGTTTTCTAGTGTAGATATTTGTTAATTATTGTAATACTTGAAAACTAGGAAATTATACAAAAGTCATAGGGGACTAACCGAGTATGGTAATTAACAAATTGATATATACATAATGTTTATATGCATATATATGCATATATTACTATACCTTACATACATATATATGCACATGTAATATGTCTAGGAACAATATTTTACATCTAGAAGATTTTTTAAATTAATTAATTAATTAATTAATTAATTTATTTTTAGTACTAGGGATTGAACTTGGGTCTTTCATAGAAGATGTTTTAAATTAATTTCTTTCAATGAAATAATACAAAGTGAGGTCTTCCAAATCTGAATGTGAAGAAACATATTCTCCTCTATAAACTAGTATCACACGGCCAGGGATTTAGCTCAGCGGTTCAGTGATCTGCCTTGCAAGTGCAAGGACCTGAGTTCAATCCGCGGTACCAAAAAGAAAAGAAAAAAAAGAAACTAGCATCATATTGCAATAAAAGAACTGAATAGGCCGGGGATTTGGCTCAGTGGTTCTGACGATTCCCTCACAAGCACAAGGACCTGATTTTGATCCCCAGAACTGCCTCCCAAAAAGAAAAAGAATTGAATAGATAAATCAGGAGCTTGAGTATTTTGCTTTAAGTTTTTGGGCCTTAGTTGGTTTGGCTGAGGACATGATACAATTAAATTAAATGATTTTGTGTTGTTCAAATACTAACTTTCTGCAACTGTCTTAAAGCAAGATTGTTGGTCAGCTCTGAAGTTCACATTCTATGCAATGCAATTCGGCTTCTCCTAATAGGCCAAGGATTCTTTGCTCCTTGAGAAAATGTCCAAAGGAGAACAGTTATGAAGTCTTCTTAAACATGGATTTAGGAGTAGAGCACAATAAATCAAGCAATTCCAGGCCTCTAATCCATGGCTCAGTTGGGAACAGATGGATAGTAGAGGTGGGGCTGAGGTGGAATGGCGATGGAGGCTTTGTGGTTTGCAAGTTGTACCTTTATGAACTGCGTTGCGTGGCTTTTTAAACAATCATTTCCATGCATTACATTTTAAAATGTCATCAGAGCGTATTTGGGAAAGTAGAATGCAGGTCATTTAGTTGGCTGTTTCTACTTTTAGAAAAAGGACTTAAAAGGTCAAGTTCAAGCGCTTTCAGGGCCAACTAGGCAGAAGAAACTGACACGGATAAGGTTACCTTCTTACAGGCAGTGATGGAGCTGCCCGGGCTGCTTCCTGCACTGCCGATGCTGCTGCCGCTGCCCCGCTGCACTTCTGAAACTTCACACATCAGTGGTGATTCCAAGTTGCTGTCCGTGTCCCAAACACAAAAGAGAACACATTCCATGAGTCATCTTGCTACTTCACCGCGCAGGATGAACAAAGAAACACAATTTGTCCAAAATAGTCTTTTCCGATTGCATCCAACACAATTGAAAATCTTTCTGCTGAAATGGGCATTTTTGGTTGACAGTCTTGGGTAGCTGGTGACACCACTGTGGATGACACCGTGGTGAATACAGAGCTGCAGCCCAGCACCCTCCTCGGTGCTTAGCGGGACACTATTGCGTCTGACTTCCAGGAATGTTTGCAGCTCTCCTTAAGCAAGAAGTTTAAAGTCCAAATAAAGCCCTTTCCCTTGTCACTTGAATGCAGCTCTGCCTATTACCAAAACATCATAAAATACTCATTTTATTTTTAAAATGGGAACAGAATAATTAGTTGGGGATGCAGGATGACTCCATGAAAAGAGTGCGGACTTCAGCAAAAAGGGTCATCTGCTCACCTTCTCTGGGACTGGAGACAATCCTTCTAATCTGTCTCAGAAACTGGAGCCTTATACCTTCTTCATATCTGTCAAATTACAGTGGGCTTCACTATGTACAAGACTGCATAAATATGCTAAAAATTTAGATTATATCTACAGCTTTATGAAGTAATAAAAATTAGAATTATTACCAAGCACTTTCATCATATCAGGGGAAATTTAGAATTAAACTTTAACACAAAATCCTCTCTGAATCTTATAAGCACTTCTAAATACTTTTTTTCCTGACAATGTGATCATTTAGAATTAAAAAAATCTACCAATCTCTTCAGTCACACATGGTTTTGTTGTTGACCATATATAATTTGTAAAATTCATTGAAATATATATTTGAGGATACTATCTAATAGTTTTCTGTGTATCTCAACTCAAGATATGAATCTTTTCTCTTTAAATGAGGAAGAAATAAGTTAAATCAATAGTGCATTTATGTCTTCTTTTATTTTTATTTTTTGGTACTGGGGATTGAACCCGGAACATTGCGCTTTCAAGGCAGGCAGTGGAACCACTGAGCTAAATCCCTGGAATTAATACAAGAAAATGAAAAACAGTGGAAACAAAGTCTTTGTAGATAGGGAGGGAGGGCAAGGGAATGGGGAAAAATAAGACCCAAGATTGATTATGTAAAGGTACAAATTTCCAACAATGAATGTCATTATATTGTATACATTAAATGTACCAATAAATTAATTTTAAAAATTGTGTCTTTCTAAAGAACAGTCTCCACTCATGTTTCAAGTTGTGAATTGGCCAGTTTTCATCAGATAGATGCATGAACATAGCTGTTATTTCCTTTATTAATTACCACAAAAAACATTTAAAAATGACTACTGATGGTGCTATGTAATAAATCCTAGTCAGGCAAAAATTTTGCATAATAATTAAAATCTGTTTTTGTTTAACATTTTTATTTATTTTTTTCTGAGTAACTGTTACAGAACAAATTTAATATAAATTAAAGGAGAACATCTGTTATTTTGGTTACCTGGGGAAAGAGTAAAATAAGGATGTGGAGAAGAAGAAAGAGAGAGAAACAAAATGATAGAATAGGAAGCAAGAAAAAGGGAGATAAGGATGGAGAGGGGAGGAGGAAGGAAGAAAAGAAGAAAGGAAGGAGGGTGATGGAGGAATTTGGGTTCATTTCCTGGCCGTTTGTCCCCAGCTATTCTGCACCTACACTCTCTGTCTCTCAGGCTCCTCATTGACACTTAAGCTAAAGTCTGCAGTTTCCTGATTACTTTGGAAGTCTCCTGAATATGCCAGAGTCCTTGAGTTTTCAGTCCCTCTTCCTACAGTTCCACACGATGTGGGGAGTATTGCTTATTAAACTGCCATTTCAGTGTGACTACCCAGTAAAACCCACTGCAGATGTCCCAAAGGCAAAATAGGCATCACTATTTCATTTAAAATCATTAACATGTAGAAGACAAGATCACAGACAAAACTAACATTGGTTCACAATAACTTAGACCATGAATCAAAGAATTTTCATTATTCCTTCTAGGAGTTAGTCCAGCAGAGTGTGCAGGAATTCAGAAAGACAGGTCTATGCCATTTCTCCTGTGTCCTCACGGGCAGGTCTGATGAGCTAGTAGCACACTTCCATCCAGGCCATCATAGGATGTGTGTCCTGATTTAGGATACTTCCCACGTCATTTTACAGTGTTAGTGACTCCCAGAGTGGGACATAGGCAGGCTGCACCATAACAGTGAGAAAGATCCCAGGCTGCTCATTCCTGATATAAAACAATAGAAACAATACTGCACCATTCACACCTGCTCTGGAGGAGAATCATACCTGACTTGGGCAAGGTTGGTTGGGCCCTCAAAGCGGCAGGTAATGTGAGAAGGAATCACCCTTGAAAAATTACTCAGCTGCCCCACAGGCACATTTTGTATGGCTTTAGGTAGACAATCTGATACAGCATTTTTCATGCACCCAAAAGTTTAAGAACTGCTGAGCTCATTTAATTGTAGGAAGAAATGACAATTCTACCCACCAATTTCTCAGTGGACTTTTATTCTACTTTCGTGACTGTGTGGTGTAGAAAAGAATTTGAAAGTTTGTTCCTTGTGTGCATGGCCTGCTCCATTTGTCCTACTGCTAAGCATATGCAGCTTAATAAATAAGTTTAACTATGTATAACCCATCTTTTGCTTATTGTTGAGGAAATTAAACAAGAAAATACAGTAACACGGTGGTATTAAATCTGTGTATCACTTAATGTTAAGTGTTATAGAACTCCATTGCACCGATATTGGAAACAACGGCGAATTTTGTCTCCATAAACACATTGTATACCACTTTCATGGGGTCTGATGCCCCAAAACCCTATATGTAGGGAGGCTTGTCTTTTAAATAAAGTAATATGGATGCAAACTTCCAGTGGGCAACTTTACAACTCAGCTCAATCTGTTCCATGGCTTTTGGGATAGAGAAAGAAATTTTAGAGATTTTGCGGAGATACAGTACTTGAAGCTTCAGAGAATATTTGCTGCTACAGGACAAGAAGAGGTGACAGTGACATGGAACTTACACATTCATTAAAATGAGCTCAAACTGACTTTGAAAGAACTGTCAAGATACAGTGCAGCCCTTTCCCTGGTTTCTAATGGGGAAGGCTAAAAATTCTTCTCTGGGATAATTTCCTTTGATTTTGACAATATTAAGCAAATCCTTTCCGACTGGTTTTAGGCCAAAACTGTTCAAAGTGTTTCACTGAATATGTAGATAAAGTAGTAAAGAAGATACAAAGATAGAATTTGATGTAGTGACCCTAAACCAGGTTTCTATGCAGCAGCCTTTTTTTTTTAAAGAAAAATATCAAATACGAATAAACAAGGGGATAAGCTGTCACTATACTGCCGTCATCAGTGACACATGCAGGATGGATAAGTAGGACATCCAGCATCCACAGTGAAAATAGTCTAATGAGTATTTTTCAGTGATTTACAGAAAAAGGGAGGGAAGGGCAAAGGAAAGGGGGAGGAAGGAGGAGGAAAAAGAGCAGGAGGAGGAGGAGAGAGCGTGCAGCCCAGATGCCCACCTACTATAAACTGAGTTGTTTATATACTGCTACTCGAAGCTTTGTCCCTAAACCAGCACCAGTGGCATTTCTTGGCAGTTGCTAGATAACCAGGTAGCTTGGGTCTCCGCTAGAACCAGAATCCACATTTCTTTGATTTTAATACATTGCCATTTATTTATCAATTAAAAAGTATCCATATATTTGAAAAAATACAACAAATATAAGGTACATATAAAAACATATCAAAAAGAAAGTTGTTCAAATAAACACATGCTAGCACTGACTCAACACAACATACTAGAGGTATATTAACATGATGCGATTGAACTTACCTCTCAAGACCAACAAGGGTTATAGTGATCACGCATTGATGTCAAAGGCAGATCTCCAAAAAGAACCAACCATTCTTAACACATATTTCACTAAACATAAGGCATAAGGCAAAAACATGAAACTGAAGGGAAAACCATAGTCCCACGTGTGTCACCCCAAAATTTGAAGCGCTTCCTTCAGTAATGGATTGCTAAAGAAGGTAGCAATGGAACAGTCACAACTAGCAACAACATGCCTCAAACGCAGCACCATACTCTGTGCCAAAACGGGAGAGCACATAGTGCTCTTGGGATCACGAGAAAAACAAAATACACATTTTATCTTAAACTCAGGAAATGGATACACTTTGTAATTATATATATTTATAAAGTTTGAGAGCACTCAACCAATATACTAAACACATTCTCATTTCTTCTTGGGCTTTTGCCCATATCACTTCTTTTATGAACATTGTTCCCAATCCTTCCTCTTTCTCCTTGGTCATTCCTACCCTGAACTTTCGGTCTCAGCCTATAAATTACTTCCGGTGCCTCCTTCTTCCTTTCTCCCTGCCAGACCACTACTTTTCTCCAGCCAACTTCCGAAGGCCCATGCATTCCTACCTCTCCCCACAGCACCCGACCCAAGAAGAGGTATTTTCCTTATGTGTTCCAAAAGCACCCTCTGCCATATCCTCCTATAGCACTATAGAAAATTACAGTTTTGCAGTATTTGTCTGACTCCCTTTAGGCTGCAAGTTCTTAAAAGGCAGGACTAACTCAGGACTTAGGACAGAACTAGGGAGGGGTAGATGATTAAAAACACTGTTTGAAGTGGTTTGTTTCTCTCTTTCTGAGCATTTTAGCTAACCTCAGAAGATTTGGAACAAGCAAGTATTTAAATTCAGTGCTTAATTTTCTTCAGTGGTGACAGATGGGGAATAAGCCTTGTCTGAGAAGATAATTCAAAGTATTTCCCATGATAGTTCTAATGAAAAAGGTTCCTGCTGCTATTGTCACTAACATGTCAAGTAAACACAGTGTGAAGTTAAACAGTTTTAATAGATTCTGAAAGATAAGGTTTGCTCTTCTCACCACTTAAAGGATGTTTTTGGTAAAATGTAGTGATTATGAATCATTTC